TGGGTATTGTTTTTGCTTTGGCTCCATCCCTTCATTCTTTCTGGAGTTATTTCTCCACTGATCTCCAGTAGCATATTGGGCACCTACCAACCTGGGGAGTTCATCTTTCAGTGTCCTATCTTTTTGCCTTCATACTGTTCATGGGGTTCTCAAGGCAAGAATACTGAAGTGGTTTGCCATTCCCTTCTCCAGCGGACCACATTCTGTCAGACCTCTCCACCATGACCCGTCCGTCTTGGGTGGCCCCACACGGCATGGCTTAGTTTCACTGAGTTAAACAAGGCTGTGGTCCTGTGATCAGATTGGCTAGTTGTCCATGACTGTAGTTTCAGTCTGTCTGCCCCCTGATCCCCTCTCGCAGTGTCTGCCGTCTTACCTGGGTTTCTCTTGCCAGAGGTTCCCCTCTGGGCCCTGGTTAGTCAGCAGCTGTGAGATCTTGGACAAATCGCTTCCTTTCTCTGGCCCTCGGTTTCCCCATCTGTAAAACCAGAGCAACCACACCACCCCTAACGCTCCTGGGAGATGCCAAGTGTCTTCAAGAATCTGAAGCACCCACTGGGTGCCGGCACCTAGTATGAGTCAGGAGACATTAGTTCCAGTCCACCTGCCAGGTGGGTAACAGAGACCCCCTAGGGGCTGCCCCCCGGGTCCCGGCTCTGTGACGCAGGAGTGGGGGTCTGTGGAGGCAGGGAGGGCTGTCCACCGGGCTATGGAAACTGAGGGGGAGATCAGACTTCCCCAGGCACAGTCCTGCTCACCTCAGTGGGGACCCCAGGGCCAGGGGAAGAGAAGGAGTTTGGGCACATACTTCTTAATTACTGCACCCCCTCCCAGGTCCCCACGGGGTTCCAGACACCCTCCACCCAAGGTGGGGGCCAGATGAGGCAGCCCCTCCAGCCCCCACCATGCCTGTATCCCCTCCCCTAAGAAATCTCAGCCCAGACAGCATCCAGGGTTTCTGGGGCTCCACAACAGGGGGTCTGGAGTCAGCCAGCCCCAGGTTCAAATCCCCGCTCGGTCACTCACCCACTCACTGCCAGGAGCCTTGACAAGGCAAACAGGGATCAATGTCAGTGTATTAATTATGGTGAAGCGATAATTATGAACTAAACCCCCATCATCACCGTGATCGTGGGGCTCTTGGGGGCCCAAGTGCTTCACACACACGCTTTCACCTGGTCCTCCCTGGGACCCTAGACAGTGGTTCTCAGCCGGGGGGCCCCTTGGCTCCCCAGGGACGCTGGGCAATACCCAGAAGCATTCTTGGCTGTCACTGTGCAGAGGAGAGAGGGCTAATGGCATCTAGTGAGTCAAGGCCAGGGGTAGCGCCAGACACCCTACAAGGCATAGGACCGTGCCCGCCACAAGAAACTACCCAGCCAGAAAAGTCAGCAGTGCTGACGTTGAGAAATCCCACTCTGGAGGTAGGTACTGCTGTCATTCTCCTTTCACAGATGAGGAAAACTGAGGCTCAGAGAGGTTAAGTGACTTGCCTGAGGGCACACAACAGGTGAGTGACAGAAAAAATGAAAGTGAAAAGTAAAAGTGTTAGTCACTGGGTCATGTCTGACTCTTTGTGACCCCACGGACTGTAGCCCGCCAGGCTCCTCTGTCCATGGAATTCTCCAGGCAAGAATACTGCAGTGAGTAGCCATTCCTTCTCCAAGGGAATCTTCCCAACTCAAGGACTGAACCTGGATCTCCCGCACTGCAGGGCTTCCCTGGTAGCTCAGCTGGTTAAGAATCTGCCTGCAATGCAGCAGACCCCGGTTCGATTCCTGGGTTGGGAAGTTCCCCTGGAGGCTCAGATGGTAAAGCATCCGCCTGCAGCGTGGGAGACCTGGGTTCGATCCCTGGGTTGGGAAGATCCCCTGGAGGAGGGCATGGCAGGCCACTGCAGTATTCTCTGGTATTCTTGCCTGGAGAATCCCCGTGGCCAGGGGAGCCCTGGTGGGCTACAGCCCATGGGGTCGCAAAGAGTTGGACATGATGGAGCAACTAAGCACAGCGTAGCACTCCTGCATTGTAGGCAGGTTCGAAGCCCTTAGTGACGAAGCCAGGACTCAAACCCAGGCAGCTGGCTGTGGAGGCTGGGCTACCCTAACCCCTCAGTTGACAGCATGGCCTGGGGGCCAGGTGCCACACCAAACCCTTAAAGTATCTTGTTCAAGGTGCACAACGGCCCCCGAGAGAAGGACTGTTACCGTCAGCCCATGCTAACCTGAGCCTCAGTTTCCCTGCATACAAAATGAGGGCTGCAAAACAACTTCTATCCTATAGGGCTGTTAACGGGCAGGGCAGGTGTCTCTTGGGCCCCTAATAAGCACCTGACAAATGCTTTTTGTTTTTTTGTCTATTTTCTGGCCACACTGTGCAGCATGCAGGATCTTAGTTCCCCAACCAGGGATCGAACCTCTGCCCACTGCAGTGGAAGCACCCGGTTAAGCATCTTAACCAGGGAGGTCCCTTGACAAATACTTGAATCATCATCGCCATTACGATACAATCCCAGTATACCCACCCTCCCCAGGTACACACACGGGGTGGTCCTACAGCCGGGTGTTCACAGTCCTTATTAACATTCACCAAGTCCTCCCAGCCTTTCCCTCAGTTAATCCGCCATGGCCTGGTGAGCAAAGTTGCAATGCTCCCATTTCACAGCTGAGAAAACTGGGGCCTCTGAGATGACGTCACACAGAGTGAGTGACCTTGAAGAACTGGACTCTGGACTCCCAACCTTGGACTCCCTCCACACCGCACAACCCGTGTGTACAGACACCAGCGTGCACGTACACGCCTGTTAGCACGCGGACACACACAGCCTGCTCTGTGGCAATCCCCTCCCCAAACACTGCCCTGTTCTCTGTGGTTGGGGATCGCGTCCCCTCCCTGTTCTCATTTGCCCTGTAGGCTGTTATTACACATTCCAAATCCGTGCCAGACTGAGGGGGAAGGGGGGGTGCCGGCCGGGAAGAGAGGCTGAGAGTCCTCCTGCCTCTCCTCTGCGTGTAAATACCGTGTCTGTTTCCTCTTCTCCCCCCTGTGTTCACGCACATGCGTGTGCCAAGTGTGAGCCCCCGGGCATGCCTCTGCAGGGGGCAGCGCCCAGAGGCACCAGGAGCATATCGGGGGCTCAACGGAGGACATTTATGCCGAGTGTGGACGTCCCCACATGCTCTGTGACCAC